TTTTTTCTGTATTCTGGGGAAGGGTCTACAGGGTGTTTAGTGTCTCACTACTAGATTGGACTCATAGTAATCCACCTATTTACAGCCTTCCAAGAGCTGGGATTACAGGTGCACGCCACCATGCCCAGTCTCAATTGCCATCTCAGTGAGCCCTGGGGGGCAGGCCCGGCACTGCAGATCTAGGGATCGAACCCCTGGTCCCTTCACCTGCTTACAGGTGCTTTAATCTGCTGAGCTATTTGGCCAGAACGAGATTCTATTTCTTAAGCATACTCCACCATGTGAATTTTTCTGATTAGCTCTAGTCTGAACACACTTATATACACACTTACACACTTGCAAGTAATTTAAAATGATGGGACTCATTAGGGCTATCCACATTAGCTGCCATCATTTCAGCAGACAGACAGATGGTGACATTTGGCATAGAAAAGTCTCATTTATACTGGTTTATTTTCCAGATTGGTTTGGGTTGGGGTTAGAGTTAAACCTCAGCAAACTGGGCAATAGTCAGAACTGTGCAAAAGGAGTTGGGCCACACTTCCCAAAACCTGGCTGGACCATCTGTGTCACAGGTTAGCCCCAGAGTATAGGAGGAACACAGCCCAAACCCAGAATCCTTGGTATCCTCCAACACATGTGCCTGGAACCCCCAAGGAAAAACATCTTGCCTGGTCATAATTGCTTGGATCTTTTAGATTTTGTAGGGTTCGCTGCAGGAGGAAAGCAGTGTCTGGAATTCCCAATTGCAGCCACTGTCACTAGAGCCCCAAATGGCTTTGGTCCCCCCAAGTACACACTGATGGCAGAGAATGGGAGCTCTGAGAGGCTGGAGGTGGCAGTGGGGGGGCCTGGCATTGGGACTAGTGTTTTCAATGTTATGTTTCAGTTTAAAAGCCACTGGGAACCCACACTAAATGTTCATGTGTACATCTCTAATTCTCACTCAACACTAAAATCAAAGAAACTAGTCTTCATGGGCATTAAATTACCCTCTCTATTTGCTGCAGATGGGCAGGGTCACTTCTTCCATAAAGTTATTCACCCCTACTAGAATGCAGCAGGGCTTTTGGTGCTGCAGAAACCATCATGAGTTCTTGCCAACATAGTTTTAATACTAGAAAAATAATGGAAATGCTTGTCCTCTGTTACTTACATGTCTCTCAGAGCCTTGTAGATGGGACTTTGGGGAGGTGACTCAATCCTCTGCCTCTTTCTCTCTTTCTCTGTCTCCCTGTCTCTCTGTCTCTATCTCTGTCTCTGTCTCTGTCTCTGTCTCTGTCTCTCTGTCTCTGTCTCTGTCACTTTCTCTCTCGCTCTCTCTCTCTTTCTGTGTGTGTGTGTGTGTGTGTGTGTGTGTGTTGTGCATCAGTGGATTAGCCCACTGACAGGCTGATAGCTGAGTGCGATGTTGGAAGGTGAAGCCCGGTGAGAGGAGGAGAAGCCTGCTGGGAGGAGATGCGTCACTGCGGACGATCTTGGAAGGGTAGATGTCCCTCCTACTCCATGACCCCGTCTGCTTCCTGCCTGCCATACCATGAGCTGTTTCTTCTCTACCAGGCTCCTCTGCTATGCCAGAGCCAACCAACTATGGACTGAGCCCTGTCAACCAAAATGAATCTTCTCTTAAGTTGTAGGTATCAGATCACGTGGCCCAAGAATGAGAAAGTTACGAAAATATTTCTCGCTTTCTCCCTGAAGATTGTAAGCTCCATCCCTCTGTCATCTTTCTCCCCCCAGGCATAGTAGCCTGTGACATTGGCACAAGTGAAACAAATGCTTGTGGAAAGATGAATGAACAAGGAATGATTGACAGACTGAACAATGCAAGTAAGCTATGTGTAAGTGCCACAAGAGAACTGTAGCAGTAAGGGCTCCCTGTCAGGGGTTTAGGAGGACTTTGACCCTTGACTACCCTAGAGCTCATTCCTGAAATTCTTAAACAAGCGTTCTAAACTACTCTGTCCAAATCTCGGGATGGACTCCCTTTTCACGAATCCTTTTCTACTCAGGATCACAAAGACTTCTAACCAATAAGCATAAAAGAAAGTCAGGGATTGGACTGCAAAAAAAAAAAAAAAAAAAAATTAGTTTCCAGATTTAAAAATGTAAATCTGAGGGAATAAAGGCTCACTGGCACCTCTGCTTTCATTTTCTTCCTGCATGAAAACCTTTCCATCACACAGAGAAATGTGTGAAAGCTCTCTGAGAACCACAGTCTACAAGCACAAGCATGAGCAGCCACCTCCACGGAGGCTGGGAAAACAGGCAAAAAGATGTGGAACCCTAACAGCATCATTGAGTCCTGTAGCCACGTGCATCTGCTCTTCCAGTGGGGCCAAAAAAGTCTTTTCTGCTTAAGCTGTTAGATGACTTTTGTTATTCACCCTATGTAGAGAGGAGGGAGATGAAAATAGCAACTAATGGATTCAGGATTTCTTTTGGGGTGATGAAAATGTCTCAGAGTTAGGTAGAGTTTATGGTTATACAATTCAGGGTTATGCTAAAAAAAATGAATGAATTATATACATTGAAAAGGCCAATGTTGTAGTGTGCAAATTATTATGGTTTAGATCTAAAATGTTCCCTTCAAAGCCTCACCCTTACAAGAAGGACTTTTGGACAGTAGTTAAAACATGGGAACACTGTAATCAACAGCAGTCTATTAATGCATCCTTAGCTGAGGGCGTGGTCAGAAGGGGCAGGATCTGTGAGGACTGACCTTGGTCCTCCGTGCCACCCCCTCCATGCTAGCCACCACAGCAAAAGCATTTTCCCACTTTCAGGCCTTTTGGCCACGTGTTACTGCCTTGGAGCCAGCTGACCATGTCCTGTACCCACTGGCAGTGCAGCCAACCTGAATTTCTCCTCCTTTAAATCGTTGTTGTAGGGTATTTTTGTCCAAGTGATGGAAGAGCTAGCAGACACACAAATCAGACCACAGGTTTAAAATGTGATTTTTATGTTTTGTTCCAGTCTCTATTTGGCAATTTTAGAAATGATTAGGATCTTAAAGCTCATCCTTCCATTCTCTCAGACCCCATTGTATGTATGAGAAAACTAATGGCCTATTTGAAACTCATCAGAGAAAAAGCATAGGAGACTCACAACATAGGAGGCAGGGGGCAGCTTGAGCGCTGAGCACGTGTCCACTAACGTTGTTCTGTTTTCACACTCCTCAGGGTCCCCACCACTCTCACATGGCCACCCGCAGCCTGGGGCACTTACCTCCACAAGCAGGGACACAAGGAAGTTGGAGCTCAGCATGATGACGATGTAGACCCTCCACAGGACAGGAGTGCACAGCAGCTGTGAGACAGGACAAAACCTTTATGCTAGGCACAAAGGCATGCTGGGAAATGTTCGCATTTTCACGGCACACATTTTCATAGGTCATAAATCATATGCAAAATACATGTGTGTATGTGTACCTATGTACACAAATGCATATAGATAAGCATGTATAAATGTTGGCAGATCTTTATATAGAGTGGCGCTTGCTTTTCTTTCTTTGTCTCATCTCTATAATTTCTAAATTTCCTAAACTAACATTGGTCAATTTACAATCAAAATAAATAATAATAAAAGTATTTTTATTGGCTTGCTTTGATTTGTTTTGAAGAGGGAATGCAGGTATGTGGCTGTATTTATACTTCATGGGGATGCTTTTCTCTCTCTAGTGCCATGTGTCTCTCCTCAACCAGGTCTTTCCTTTGAGCACTGGGCAAGGGCTTCACCCTCATGATGGTGCCCACAGCTACACAGACTGTGCCCTCTCAGGGCCACTTGCCAAGAAGGAAAGTGGGGCTGAACTGAAGCTTGTCACTATTTGTCTTTTCCCTACTTTCTTTGTCTTCCCCAGTCTTTTCCAGGGACAATGCCTGATATATATATATATATATATATATATATATATGATGGGTGGGTGGATGGATGGATGGATGGATGGTAGATGGGTGGATAGGTGGGTGGATGGATGGGTGGGTGGACAGGTGGGTGAATGGGTGGATGGATGGATGGGTAGATTATTGGTGGGGGTGGATAAATGGATGGATAGAAGGATGGATGGATAGTTGGATGAATGGATGGGTAGTTGGGTGGTTTGATGTATGGGTGGGTTGGTAGATAGATGGATAGGTGGAAAAAATGTACACTCCTCCATGCCCAAAACCATCTTATACATTGCCTCATACACTAGTAAGAGTAAAGGCTAATGAAAGTCTTTGGTGAGTGGTGTTCTCAAAATTAAAACTCAAATCCATTTCTAGGAATTCATCCCAGATCTATATTTGTGCATGACTGTGATGATATATTTATATGCTATATGTATTAATAGGGTTATTTTACTGCATCTTTACTTGAAACAGTAAAAACTTGGGGAGAAAATCCTTAAATGTCTATCAAGAGGGAATTGGCATATAAATTGTGGTACATGCATAATATATACCATGTAATATAATAGCATGTTGTGTTGTCATTAAAAAGAATGAGGCATATTTATGTGCTGATAAGAGCAAGTACCAGAGCCTGTTACTTGCAAGAAGCAAGGTGCAGGACTGTGCATGTGGGTACAGCAAACATGAAAATGTTCCATTCGATTTCCTGCTGCTGGGAAGATAAATACACACAGCTATGAAAATGTTCCACTCAGCTCCCCTGCTGCTGGGAAGATAAATAACAGACACCCCAACACTGCGCTCCGGATCGCCACCACATCCACCCCAAAGCTGTACTTCTCATGGGCTCCTGAAAGCCTGTAAGTGAGGACAGCTGGGGTTCCCACGAGATTCACTCCTGTGAGACAGCAGCCACGTGTGAAGGGCCAGTAGGCTCAGCCTCGGAGCTGCGGGGCAGCTGAGGACTCTGCTCACCAGCCTACATCACAGCGTCGTCCCTTTCCCGCCTCCCCTGGCCTCCTACACTACACTGTTTCCCAAAGCATCTCCTCCAAATTTCCTGTAGGATGCATTCCACTTTGACAGACATAATAGCTGCTACAGTTCACATAAAAAGAGAGAAAATACGGACACAAGAACTATATGTGTCCTTCTGTACATATGTGTGTGTGTGTATATATATATATTTTTTTTCTATATTTTAGGGAAGGGTCTACAAGGTGTTCAGGGTCTCACTACTATATTGGACTAGCAATCTGCCTGTTCACAGCCTCCCAAGAACTGGGATTACAGGTACACAAAACCACACCCAGTCTCAATCATAATCTCAATGCACCCCAGGGGCAGGGCCAGCCCAGCAGGGCCCAAGGATTGAACCCTGGCCCCTGCACCTGCTTGCAGGTGCTTTAATCTGCTGAGCTATTTGGCTGGATATACATATGTATAAAATAAATGTGAAAGTACTTAAAATAAAATGGTGTCATCAACTGACCCCAGAGAAGAGCTATGGTGAGTGGAAAGCTTAACTGTCTTTTAATTTTTAAAACTTAAAACACACTAATATATGCTTAGTAAAAACAAGTTAATATAATGTTTTAAAAGTTAGCAGTATCTAGGTTGCAAAACAGTAGGATTCCGTTAAAATAAACTTCATAAATTAGTCAATACACATTTATAATATATGAATTTTAAAAGACTGAAAAATGCAGTAATATTATAATTTTTCTTGCCTGACTATTCTGCATGTTAGAAAGTGAGCCCATATTTGTATATAATAAGAGCAATGGGATTTAAAAATGTGAGCAATTCTGTTTCCACGGGGTCCTTTGTGCCGTTCAGGCAGGGAGCCTGCCGAGGCTCCTGACAACCAAGAACGTTCCTTGCTCTGCTACAGGACGGCGTCCAGCCGCTCTGCAGAGTCCACAAGTAACAAAGAGTAAATCAGACGCAACGTGGCTTCACTTTAATGTCCACAGTGTCAAGAAGTTATAAGCAGCAGGCAAAGTCTAGCGCCTCGAGAAGCAACTCTAATTAATGAAATCTCTGAACAACAATGGTAAATACACCGCTAGCCAAAGTAGCACAATCATGAAAAGAAAGAAATGAAGGTAGATATTTGCTAGCAGGCCCAGTGTCGCTGTGAGCTTGTGGAGGTTTTGTTGGTCTGCGATTTTTAGGAGCCTAATGCACACTGACTGTCAGTGGTTTCTTGGCCCCTTTGTTCCCTTCAGTGTGCAGGGGAGGGTGAATGAGAGTCAACGAGGGTTCGGCCTGGTCCTCTTAAAACTGCTCTTTGCGGTGGAGAGACAAGCAGATGCTCTAAACACTGAGTTTAAAAAGCTCAACTTCTTTGGCTGTCTCTTCGTGATTGTATAAAGGGCATTCCGCAATGACTACCTTTTAATTCAAAAACAAACACATTAGAGGAATCAAAATACATGTTTTTGCCTTGCTTGAGTACGTAGAGTTGTGCTTGCACAGTAGGGTTTCAAAGTTGTCTCAGACTGCAGAACGCAAGCGAGTGTACGCTTTGAATAAACTTGCAGGCATCAAGTACGATATAGGGAAAACCATGTTTTAAAAAGTAAAAGAATGTTAAATACAGATTTGAGAATTAACCAACAATGTGTTATAGGCGTAATTGCTTTAAACAACTTCAAAACAGAAGTACTTCAGAGGAAATTCTCTCACACTTGAAAAAGAAAACATAAATAGTTGTTTTTTTTTTTTTTCCTCAATCTAACAGTGGGTCTTTTAAAAGAAACATGTTCAATGTTTTCCAAAGGTTGTCTTTAGTCTTAGGAAATCAAGACTAGATGGAATTTTATTTTTGGGTCAGTTTAAATTAAAAATGGATTTGAATTCAGCATTCTTTTAAACTCAGCTGTCCCCAAAGTACATAACGTGTCAAACGCTGAAACCAATGGCAGCTGTGGCTTCAACAGTCATGAAACAACACCATGTCATAATGCCCCAGAGATCAGACTTACATCCAGGCGCCCATACAAGTCCGGAATATCAGCAAACAGAATGAATAAACACACGCCCAGCTGCACGACCACCACAAGGACAAATATATCTGAAGAAATAAGAACACAAGCTATCATTTCAAGAAATCAGACCATGGAGTGTCACAGCTATTGACGGGCATATCCTCGATTAACACTGATTAAATTTACTTGATTTCTAAATCCAACTCAGAATAATGATGGACAGCACTCCTTTCCAAGCCGTGCGTCTCAATGTCTATATGTGTTCTTGAGGCAGGTAGAAGTTTTCAAACGCATATCATCAGTTTTGCTTGGTAAATATATAGAGACTAACATGGAAAAATAATTTTAATAAGTGCTTTTAAGACATTCAAGTAACCCAGTCTCTTTAGTACAAGCCATCTGCCTCAAAATTGAATGCTGTAAATAAGTAACTTTTCAATTATATTTCTGTAGAGGTCAGCAGCGTCTTATAGCTTCCTTATCCTAAGAAGGTCAGGGACAAAATAATTTTCCCTGAGCCAACAAATTTTTATGAGGATGTAGATTCTTTATCTCATGCTTCTGAATTATCTCAGTTAGTTGAGAGCTGATGGTGTGCAAAAGAAATGTCTCAGAGACTAAATACATAATCGCTTCTCCTCCTAACACACCTCCCCAACCCCAGAACATAAGATGAGAGGCCCTTCAGCCAAGCACCTCTGCAATCTGATATAGCCAGGTGCCTCCAGGTTAGAGACCCACTCCCAGCCTGTCACCACACAATGCTATCCCAACCACTGTCCTCATGACTGGGGACAGGTTCCACCCATGTACTGTGACCTTTCTCTTCATAGGTCCCAGGGTGAACTTGGGCAAGTAGAAAAAAAAAAAAAAAACTTCCTAATTTGGAGCCATCCCAAGAAGCAACACCTAAAGATAAACTTCTAGTGAAGGAATGAGAGGGAAAAAGCAACCTTCGTTTTTAGTGCAGCTTTGAAGGAGCAAGAACTCATGAGAATGAGGCTACAGAATGTGCTTTACAGAACTCGGGAATGGAAGTCAGGGGACACTAGATCAGAACCAACTGAACAGTGGCTTCCCGTGAGGCCTGGGCCTATCTGCTCTCTGTAAGGGTCTCACCTCTGGCCCCACACAGCTCTACTCACAGTTTGTATAGGTGGGTTGCCTGAATGGTTTTCCTTTAGAGAATACAAGAGCCACAATAATGCAATTGATTGTTCCCAAGAACCATATAGTAGTGTTCTCAAAGCTTGTATAGGAGCCATTAGCTCCAGTTTTCTCTGGATCAGTTGGAGACATGGTTAACTTAGAGATGCTTTGATTTTGCATTGAACAGGCACTGTAAAGAAAACAAACAAACAAAAAACTAATGAAGTGAGATGTAAAGCCCTGAGGAAATATTTGTATCCACAGGACTTCACTTCCAGAGAAGGCACTTGACATTTGTAAACTGCCTACATTTCAGTAAAGAATACATTGAAAAACAAGGAAGGAAGAAAAAAAATCAAGCAGATTGACCTATATTTTAGAGAGAGAGAGAGAGAGAGAGAGAGAGAGAGAGAGAGATAGCCAGATGGATGGATGGATGAATAGATGGATAGACAGATGATAGACATATAGATAAAAAGATAGATAGATATAGATAATAGCCAGATAGAAAGATAGATAGATAGATAGATAGATAGATAGATAGATAGATAGATAGATTCATCCAGTTATTTATCCATCAAATGGTGTACTCATCAAGTGCATTTAAGGCTATATAACAAAAAGATGAAGAAGTCATAAGCCTCCCCTTTAGTGGTTCATGATCACTAATAATTTATAAACATAATGACTAGATAGCTTGTCATCAAACAAGGATAGTTTTAAAGGGGAAAAGCGTTAATAATTTCACTAGGATTTTTGTTAAACTGGGCTGCATAAACTGGGACAGGTAAAGCAAACTATAATCCCTGGCTGTCCTAAATATAACAGATGGTCACTGATCATTATCACGAAGCCCAAGTAACGGTATAGCCAATAAGTGATACCATCAAACTATGCTAAGAAGAAGACATAAGTGTTGCAAATTTACCTGAAGGACTTAGGGCTGTCAAAACCTTTAGCAGGATGAAGATTCACTTGCTGCTCTGCACGCTGGCCAAAAGACAGATTAGCAAGTGAGGGTACATGAGGCTGTAATCTTACCTGTGCAACTCCAGGGCATACCAGGGCTGCTTCTGCACCAAGACAAAGCCCACGATGTGCATGGCCAGGCTGAGAAGGATGTTGAGGATGACAGAGAGCAGCAGAGGTGGTGAGATCAGCCGTCCTGCAGATCTGAAAGGCACCAGCTTAGGGTAGGCACCATTCAGATTCACTGTAAAATAAAGTCAAGTTTCATGCTGGTGAGAGCAGTGAAGTGTACTGCTCACCAGAACAGTGGCAGATCAGCTTTGGCCCGGGAGGGAGGGAGGGATCATATCTCGATCTGAAGGAACAAAACAGTTAATGGATTTTAACTCAGGTCACATGAGAGATGCTTAAGAGAGCAGACACAGACAATCACAAGATGCCATGTTTTGTCTATTAAGTAGGCAAAGCTATTAAATTATAAGGAATGGAATGAAGGAGCGCACCCTCTCAGGAACTGTATAAACTGATGCAAAACTTCTTCAGAGAAATTGGACAAGCATGAAGAAATGGAAGATACTCATAGCTTTAGACAGTTATTTCACTTCAAGAAATTTATCCTAAGCGAAAAATCAAAATGTGGAAAGATAATCACCACAGAATGATCTACAGTAAATTACAGTACATCTATAAATTACGGTATACTTGTATAATGGAGTAATCTAGAGAATGCCATCACCACAAAGCAGTATTCTAAAATAATGATGAATGAGCAGTGAGAAAGAAAAACTGGGCAAGCTCCAAGCTCCCATCTCTCCAGAGAAATACTGAAATGCACGAAGAGACTACTGTGCCAGACATCTAAAAAACAGACAAAAGCTAATAGAAGCAGAGTGAGCGCCAAACCAAGAAGTCAGCTCCAAAAATGGTAAGGAAGTTCTCGGGCATTTTCACTTTTGCTGGCCTCACTCCTTCGTAGGATCCTGTGTTCCCAGGAAGGGCGTCGGGTTCCCGGTCACAGAGGAAGCACAGTGGAGTTTGTGCACAAGTCTCGCAAGCTGTCTGAGGGAGAGCTACCTGAGAAGCGGGTCACGAATCTTCACTTCCGCTCACGTGGAGCTCGCTCAGGGCCGAAAAGCAACACACTGCTTGAAAGCGAAATCTAACAATCTGCAGTTGCTTGGGGCAACAGATTATAATTAAGGTGAAAGTACTCACCCAATGCCTGGGAAGAAAAGCTACAAAAAAACGCCTTTTGAGAAATTGGGGCTTTCAAAAACACCCGTGTGTACTACAGAATGTAGAAAGCCACGTGCATGCCTGGAGCGAGATGCGCGCTCCGAGAGGCCCCCAGGCTTTCGGCTCCAGACAGTCTCCAGGGACAACGCAACCCCAGCTTTGCGTTGTATAACCATCCCAGCTCTGAAGCTGCCTGCAAAGGCTGGGAAAGATGTTTTTGTTCATTTGATTTTTACCTCAAGTGGTCAAGGAAATCTCTCTCAAAATACTACCTACGTAAAAGTTAAAGGAACAGAGATTTCAGTGATTGTACCTGCAAGTTACAATCTTTAAAACACAATTTGGGGCAGTCACTGAATAAATGGACTACTACAGTTAAAAAAAAAAATGTATCAAGCCCTTGGGAAAGAGGAAAGTCTGAATTCCAAGGTTATCACATTCTAATATTTCAATGGAATAAAATAAATTGAAAGCCATCCTCCTAATAAAACACATAAGACATAATCCCTGATTAAACAGTAAGCAAAGTTTTGAAGTAATGCTTTTTTGTTTGTTTGCTAGTTTTTTGTTTTGTTTTGTTCTGTTTTTTAATTTCATGTATTTGGTACAGGGTCTCACTATGCAGCTCGGATATGTAGTGACCCTCCTGTTTCAGCCTCCCTAGCACTGGGATTACAGGCATGTGCCTGTCTCAGTAGCCAACAGGCGTGCCCGGGGCAGGGCCAGCACTGCATGTGGTACCAGGGATGAGACGGGTCCTTACGCTTACCTAAGCAGATGCTTAGACTGCTGAGCTATCTCCCTGGCCCTTTAAGTACCTCTTAAATATGTTCAAAGACCTAAAGAAACCATAGGCAAAAAAAAAAAAAAAAAATTAAAAGAAAGCACAAAAATGATAGGTAAACAGAATGAGAATATAATAAAGTTACAGAAATTATTTTAAAGGGAGCCAAAAGAAAGCCCAGAACTAAGAAGTTCTATAAAAGAAATTTTAACAAATGCATCAAATCAGTTCGAAAGCAAATTTGGGCAAAAGAGTCAGTGAACTTGAAATGAGACTACTGAATTGACCTCATTTGAGTAACAGAAGGAAAAAGAAAAAGCTAAATGTCTGAGGGATTTGTGGCTAATAAGTGAAAGAACACGTACTATGGGAATTTCAAAATGAGAATATGAAGAAAGAGGAAGAAAAAATATCTGAAGACATAATAACAGAACACTTCCCAAATTTAATAAGACACGAGTCTTCATATTTGATAAGCTCAAAGAATTTCAAAAAAATAAAGCCAATGAGTTCTACACCAAGGCATTATTATCGGATTATCAAAAGCCAAGACCAGGAGAGAACTTTAAAAGCAACGGAGAAGCCAATCACTACCCATGAAGGATCTTCACTAACTACTAACTGCTCATCAGAAAACATGGAAGCTAAAGTGAACTTGACCACAC